GGATGTTGATGGCTCTGGGGCAACTGTATGCTGATCTGATGCACGTCGTAGCTCGGATGAGGCAGATGTTGATGGCTGTGATCCAGAAGCCATATCATACTCGTCATACTCACTGTGAAAAATGTGGGAAAAACAAATCGATTACTTCACTGGCTTATTCTTTCAAAAATGTAACTCAAATCAGAAATAATTCCTCCATTTAGCGTGTGTGAAATAACAGTATATATATATATATATATGATATACAATACAGCTTTATTTATATACTGCCGTGTTATAGTGACGAAATACAATTAATCTATTGATAAGTGTTCACCAACACGTGTTCCCATTGTTTACAACAAAACGGCATCGATTTCGCGTACAGTAGGCCTATAGACTGCGTTGATATACAATACAGCTTTATTTATATACTGCCGTGTTATAGTGACGAAATACAATTAATCTATTGATACGTGTTCACCAACACTGTGGGAAAAACAAATCGATTACTTCACTGGCTTATTCTTTCAAAAATGTAACTCAAATCAGAAATAATTCCTCCATTTAGCGTGTGTGAAATAACAGTATATATATATATATATGATATACAATACAGCTTTATTTATATACTGCCGTGTTATAGTGACGAAATACAATTAATCTATTGATAAGTGTTCACCAACACGTGTTCCCATTGTTTACAACAAAACGGCATCGATTTCGCGTACAGTAGGCCTATAGACTGCGTTGATATACAATACAGCTTTATTTATATACTGTTTTAATTAATAATTTATTTATTTATAATTAATCTATTGATGCGTGTTCACCAACACGCATCTTCCCATTGTTTTTCGACTCTCAGAACGATTACGCGAGAACAAAGCGGCGTCCATTTTTTCTTTTGCGAGTGTGGAATTACTATAGATTACACCAAATACATAACTAATAGACACAAACAGAGAGAGTACATACCTTTCCCGAAGTTCATAATCCGGGTCTGATTGTGGCAAATCAAGTAAATCCTCATCTTCTGACGGAGAGTCAGCGAACACCATTTCCACGGCATCTTCAAGCTTGTACAGCCTCTTTCTGGGTGCCATTATTTGCTCAAATAAGTCCTAAAAGCAAATAAATCCTTGTCCTTGTCCTTATATATAATAATAATATTATGTTATGCTGTCGTCTCGGTTTTCTCTGTTGTCTCTGTGTTCTCTGTTCGCTGTGTTCGTCGCTTCGTTCGTTTGCTCCTCCGGTGCTGCTGCTGCTGTGTCGTCTGCGTAATGTGGCTGGAGCTGGCATAATTTATGTTACGCAGGATCGTAACTCTGGAACCCATTGGTCGATTTGGGTGATTGACACCTTTTTTGAAACTTTAGAGCCAATAGGATCGAGCTGCAGTTAGTAAAACCGGCTAAACAACTACGTGGAGGAGGGGGAGCTGTGCGTATACCTCGTGGGAGACAGCATCAGTGCCGGACTGCAAAACTTTATACCTACTCTGCTGCCATGAATGTAATGATAGATTATCAGGACCAATTCTAAAAGGACTAAGAGACTTTGGATTAACCTTGAGCAGCGTTTTTATTCCCTTGAACACGACTTTTGATCACAAAACAGCAACGGTAAGACAAAATTATTGTTACGGTTTTGAAAACTGTTGTTCTTTTCTTGCTCTGTTCTGGCTGCTAGCTCAGTGAGTTTGTGTCCTCCAGTGATGATACTTATATCAAAATAATCAGTGGAGTATCAGCTTTCAGATTATGTGTAGTTTGTGCAGATAATATGAAGGTATAAAGATCGTTTTTGCTAGTTAGCACCGGAAGTAGCATTTGCCCGTTTTGGCTAAGGGCTAATGCTAACGCTTCTTGTGAGACTTGTGTTTTGTTTCGGTAAAAATGGCTTGTATCGTCAGGTAGCTGAGTTTTTTCCCGTTTATTGAGTATAAGACATTCATAGGTTTTTAAATATTAAGAAGCCCCCAGACGCTGTCTCCTGCCGTGACGCGTTTTTCCGCCCGGTACCGGGGGGGCGGAGCGTAACAGGTTAACAAGAGAACATAATCGAGGGGTGATCAATAACATTTCCGTATTTATTCATTTCTCCAAGTTATGTTTTTGTGTGCACTGAGGAGTCAAACAGGCGTTTGTTAAATCATTTTAAGATCGGCTTTAATCAATTTTTGAAAATTAATTCTTCATATATGATACATGAGGCATTTTATTTATGGTATTATTTCCACATATTTCTCTCCATTCTTCCTTCTGCCAACGGTGTCGCAGTTTCTCGTCTCTCCCGTTTTTGTGCTTAGTGCGTACGCATGGGTCAGAGTTTGCGTGGAGGACCGCACATTTTCCCGTAAAGTTTGTTTTTTATAAATCGCAAACATTGCGTAGAAACTGGCGTACGCCATCTTTTGAGCGTACGCACCGTTTATAAATGAGGCTGTGGCACAGTATGCATCCTTATTATTAGCATATAAAAGAGTGTTAAGAGTGTTATGTTGTTGTCTCTAGTGGGGCATTTAACATACTGAGTGAATGTAGGTAGAGATTTGTCAAGTTTTGCATGATTAAAATCCCCTGTGATGGTAACAAAGGCTGTAATGTTGGCCATGTCTCTGAACACCTGGTACTTCTGGGCCCTCCATGTAGGTCACAGTTCTGGAATATGACAGCACTAGAGGATAATGGCTTCCTGGTAGCTTCACGTATGATTCTTAATTTGCGTCTTTATGTCTCAACGTTTCTTTCCACCCTGTTGACTTTTAGCAACAAAACGTTTGGTTCTATGATCACGCCCCAGTAGCTTAGTAATTTCAAGAGTGCTGCATCCCTCTGAAATACCTTTTTAAATGTTTGACTTTTCAGAGTCAGTTAAATCTCTTTTTTGGCCCATTTTGCCTGAGGAAAAGGAGCTGCATAATAATTCTGCACACCTTCATGTAGGGTGTTGATCTCGTTAGGCCACACCCTCACTCATTACACAAATACACATCACCTGATATGCTTAAATCCAATACGCATTCAAGTTTATACAGCTTGGAGTTGGAAAATATGCATACAAATTATGATATGGTCAAAATACTCGCCTAATAAATGTGCACACAATGTAGTATGCCACGATGGTTATCCCTCTGGAGTGGTATGCTGCTCACGCTCCACCAGCGTATTGCCTACCGTATCCTGACTGAGTCATTCACTGTCTGACTGTTGTTTCCGCTGTTCATAACGGCCAATATCACGAAATAGCAAATGGGTGATCACTTTTAAATTGGAAATAAATAGGGATGTACCGATACATTGGTGCAGCGTTTCTCAAAGTGTGGGGCATGTGATAGGTGGGTCGCGAATGGACGTGATGAACGGGAGATTATTATTATTATTTTTTTTTTTAATACATTTTTGGACCTCAGGCCGGAATCGAACCTGGGTCCTCGCGGGCGGTAGTGGACTATTACAGCCGGAGACTCGCAGCGGCGGTGGACTTTCACTGCGCCGGACCCGCCGGAGCCTCGCAACGGCGGGTGTTTGAGGCGGAACAGGTGGGGCTTGAAAAGGCGGGGCTTGAAAAGGCCCACCTGTTCAAAGAAAAAGTTTGATAACCACTGCATTGGTGGGACATCGGCATCGGCTGATGTTAGTCCTATTTACCACCGGCACATCGGTAAATAAGGTGACATTCGCCGATGGCAGTCGCCGATGGCAGTCGCTCATGTTTATGTTTTGCTCGGTGACCGGGAGAAATTGCACTAGCGTCGTTGTTATTAAATCTGACGGACAAAATCTGAAGTCCGGCATCATTTTGAAGGATTAGAACTGTGACTGTGGGTCTGCCGTATCTTAAAAGTAATCTCCTCTGTAAGGAGCTGCTGCTGCAGGGGGGATACATGTTGCAGGACTTCCGCCCCGTGGAGCGGGTGTCTGCAGGATCGGTAAATGAAATCCAACATTCAATGTTCTTGGGAGGCCGTTGTTTATATTTGTGACTTTGTCATACTGCTGCTACTCCCGGTAACTTCCAGACACTTTCTACGCTCGCAACATTTATGTGTATGTCAGCGTTTAAGCCATTTGTTTTATATTGGCTCTTCTAATTCTGGAACAACCTCCTACTCTCACCATCAACTGTTGTTGCTCAGGTTAATTGTTGAAGTAAGCAGCTGTTGTCGTCGGCCAACTAGTTGTTGGTGCCTGAGCTGAACCAGTTCCCGGGGCCGAGCTACATTGGAAACATGAGAAACTGATTCGCAATTGGACAATGGTTCAGAACCAGCCCTGGAACCGCTTTGGTGGAGGTCTATGTGAGAGGCAGTTGGAGTTTTGTCACTTGAGGGGCACTCTGGGGCCAGATCGTTAGTCTGTTTAATATCATAAACGCGTCTATATGAGACAGCAACAAAACAACCTACTTTATCAAATAAAAAATTACGTATGAAAGGTAAAACATATTATTATGGGATTGACAGCAGGTTTATAATATTTATTTTGAAAGATTTTAAAGCTCCTCCACTCTAGCTGTGCTGTTATGATGTTATAAAGGTGTATCTTTTAATAATCCACTCTAGCTAACGGTCTGAAAAATTCCCAAAACATAAACTGCCATTTTGTGAAAACCATGCCACCTATATTTAATCTGAAAAAGTCTGGAGAAACGTTTAACTTATTTTTTAGGTCAATGTGAGCCGTAGGTTGTGTGGTTTTGACCTCTGCTCACCGCAATGTTACATTCATTCCTAATGACAAAGAATCGGATTTTTGTGAAAACAACTAAAGGCGAATTGGTACACACATAGAACCCCCAATCCCGATCATTCCGCACATTATGAATTTTGTTCATTTGTGTGAACTCTTCACAACATGTAGCTTTGCCAGTCACACAGAATAAGAATTTATTCTAATTATAGCGGGATATCACCCTTGGTAAATAAAGCAACCTTCTGACCACCTCAACTCTCAGTTTAATCTTCATTGCTGAGGTTTCTTTGACAGGTTGATGACATGTGTTTGAATTTTCAGAGTGCAGGCGATGGGGAAGAGTCCAAAGAAGGTGAAGATGAAGCTGGAGGTGATGAAGAAGGAGGTGTAAGAGATAACAGCAACAATAAACAGGCTGCAGGAGGCAGAGAGGAGGAGAAAACCACAGAAGAAGAGAAAGAAGAAGAAGAAGAAGAAGAAGAAGAGGAGAAGGACAAGGGGAAGGGGAAGAAGTAGATTCACTCCATGAGGAAAAACAGAATAGGGGTTTGAATGTGAAAAACAAAATACCTAAACCATATGAAAATTACTCATTACTGTCGGTTTGTATATGTTTTTTTCACTGTCTTATCTTGTTGCTATAGAAACAGACATTGGTGGCATGTAACAAAAAGATGTGCAGTTGATTTAGAGAGCTTCAATGGGACATTGTCGCTCCTGGTTCAGTATCACATGATGATGATCAGTATCATCTGGTCCTCCGTGTTGGTCATTTGTCATGTCAAATCCTTTTATTTATATATCCCAAAACAAGTTGTTGATCCCAGATAGACGTCAGACACCTATGTTCCATTCCATAGTTACCACAATACACCAGCAGTTGTACAGCTGCTGATAACGTAAACTCTATAAGGTGTTGGAGCTAGCCATAGCTATGTATTATCCCCATATGGATAGGGTATAGTCTAGTTGCCAGCTCATCCAGTCCTATAGTGAACATTGAGTAATCCAAAGTTTTATGTTAGAAATGTATTGTAGGGTCCCCAGCACATAGAAACTGTCGGATGCTAACCTGCATATTTTGGGCAATTTGCACAATTAGCATAAGTTGCGTTAATTACCAATAATTAGCAATATAGCCTATGTGAATTGGTTTTGGGGGTTATTGAGGATGCTGAATCAATTTCTGAAGATCAAAAATGGCAGTAGTTTTAACCAGAAAATCCCAGTATTTGTACTCTCGATGGGCTGATTTTGATTCATTTTGGGTCTATTTGGAAGATCTAGGGGACTCTTTTCATCTTGTGCTCCCTATAGCCATTTTTTATACTGAAAAGGTCAGAACTGGATCTGCATCCTCAATATCCCCCAGAACCACTCCAACATTGATCAATTGGGCAAGCAATTTTTTTCCATATAGACTATAATGCAATGAAATGCTAATTATGCAAAATCATGAGAACAACAAAAAGGTGACACATTTTTGTTCACACTCATTTCTCAAAGATTGAGCTCTCTCGCCCAAAGGAGTGACACGCTGTTGGTAACAGGCAGCAGATCAGCAGCACACCAGTAAGCAACACTGTCACAGCATTAAGGACTGCAGAAGCTCCAGAGGCTCTACGGTCTACAGACGCTGACTCTCATTTGGACGTGAATCTCACCTGGCTGAGATAAACACTGAGGATACTGAACTTATAAACTTTCATTATTGTTAAAAGTTAAAGGCAAAAACTGGGAGAGAAGTCAACTACGAGTCCCAGGGAAAATTGCTGTCAGAGACATTGAATAAGAAGGCTTGAAGTTGTTGTTGAGTTCCTGACCGCCATGACACAGCGCTCATATGATTTAATGGATTTCACAGGTCTGGAAGAAGAATGGCAGCTGAGGCTTCTGGATACTGTAGTATTCAGAGATATTCAATATGTCCAGTCAAGAGTACTCGCATTCGTCTTTGTTGCACCTCCTCCTCTTTCATTACTTTATAGTTCAAATGAATGCAAACTGTTTTTTTTCCAAATATAGAACTTGTGATGTCAGTTCAGGCTCCTTGCCTATGTCAGCAGTTGATGTAGACTACATGATTTCAGACACACAATTAAACTGTACAGTGTATTGTACAGAAGCCTTTTAAGTGTTACACTTTAAAGGCAATGTTTGCTTTTGTTGGTAGTTGTGTCCACCTCCTCCAGGAGTTATCTTCTATCTTCTGATAGAAGATTCTGTAATGGTTGGATTTGCTGATTTCTTTCTCTTCTATTTTGTTGTAAACTAAATATTATTGGGTTTTAAACTGTTGGTTTGAAGGAGGAAGACATTATAAGAAGTCGCATTGGGAATGTGTCCTTTACATTTTTAGTATTTCCTGATATTTAAAAAAAGAAAGACAATTAATTGATATAATAATTTACCAACAAATTAATAATGAGAATAATCTTTTGTTGCAGGCCTGGGTGAACACCCAAACTGTCTAAAAACACTGAGTGTTTGGGCTCTGATAAACCTTGACAGTGAGCACAGATGTTTGTTTTTGTTTCAGAACCGCATATAATAAAGACAACTTACTGGCTTATTCTGGGGTTTCCACTGCATGTCACACTCTAGAGTTAAAGTTTCATTTACCAACGGCTGAAAGATGATCAAAGAGTTCAGACTGACCCCAAAACCTTTTACAATGAATTTGATATTTTCCATTAAAATGTTATCATAGTTGACTAAAAAATTGGACAGAACTATACAAAATAATCAAACAACTACAAGTGTTTGGTGTAGACATCCTCAGATATTCTGGAAATGTCTCAAATGCAGAGAATGCATTGCCGTTTCCCTTTTTTCTTTTCCAGAAAAAAAATATTTTTATAATAACAATACAAAAAGTACAGTGTTTACTGTGTTAAGAATGTATGTGGGTGGCCCCTTTAAAACTCTTATTTGTTAAATGTCTATTTCTTATAGTCTGAACATTCAAACCTTCTCTTTATCATGATTGTTCATGCTAAGTAGCTAAAAGAGCAAGACACTTTAAGATAATGTAATAGCAACTTTTTCAGTTTAAGGATTACGTTTACGGTCCCTCTAATTATCAATAAAAAAAAATCAATTTCAACCATTAAATAAATCAATTAGCAAACTTAAATCAATGTATCACGTGAGAGCCGTTAATAATGAATCGTTGTCTCCCTCTGGTGGTTAGTGAGATACATTACAGGGAGGTATGGAAGCGACTTCGGCCAATCAGATCCGACAACACTTGTCGTGACCTCTTCTCCGCCGCCATGTTTGTTAGTGGCAGTGAAGCCCGTGCGGAGGTGCAGGAGGAGCGCCAGCGGACCGTCGTGCAGTTTCTTACCAGGCCTCGGAGTGTGTAGCCCGGCGGCAGCCATGGTTCAGACGTGCTCAGCGTACGGCTGTAAGAACCGCTACCATAAAGACAAAGACATTTCTTTTCACAAGTAAGTTGTTACCTGGCCAAATATGACGGATATGAACTGTGTGTCCTGTGAGGACTATAGAGAGATAGTTCACCAGCATTCGTTTACCACTGCCTGATTGAAGCTCAGTCAGCCGTCTTTAACAGCATCAGTGAGGAGAAGTTGAAGCAAGAGCTTCCTTGTGTCGGTAGATTTTACCGGTAAAATCGGGTGACTGACATTTCACAAAGCACCATTCTGCTCTCATAAATTAAAAGTCTTGTATCAAGTTTGCCCGCGATTTGCCCACTCCCCCACTTTAATAGCAAGTGAACCTACAGTGTTTACGGTGGTGATCATATTAAAACGTACCTTCAATTCTGGTTCACCTTTTCTATAGGCTACGGCATTTTACCAAGACCTAACACATGTTTGTAAAAACACTTTGTCATAAACTCCAACATATTTTAATAATTAAGAAATACAATTCCATGAATTTTGATTAGAGTTTGATTACCATTCTATGGAGCAGGGGCGTCGCCTGGACCTAAAAACATTCGGGGCTTAGCCCACAGTGGCGGCGGTGTCAGTACCATATGTGTTCGGGGTCCGTCGCTTACCAATGACGTCACCCATTGTGATTGGCTGTACGGAATCGTAGTAATCAGCAGCGAACCGCTTCAACACGTGTATTTCAGTGTATTCACGGCATTCATTTTGTTATTCTACAGTATTATTGTTTTATAGTTATTTGTTAATGTAACCCAATTTGTGTTCTTTGAAATTGAAAAGGATATCGCATTGTGTTTGTTACATTCGTTGCAGTTGTATAGGCTATGTGTTAAGTGTAATTTGGCATGTCCTATTTATGGACATGCTTTTATTTTGAAGGACAGTTAGCGCAGTTGACAGGAAGTTGTTGTTGCTTTGGAAACAACGTGACAGAGATTAACGGAGAAAAGTAATATCTACATATAAAGACGGAGAAAGTAAACGATAACGTTTATGGTTAAGTGTTAGCACCCCCCGAAGAGGCACAAGCTCTTACGTTGATATTGGAGATTTCAATAAATTCAATTTGAAAAAAAAACGGGGAAAAAAAACAAAAACGAATATCTGAATAACGAAATTGAAACCCGAATAGTACTCCAACGAACGAATATTCGGATATTTTTGGTACAGTAGGGCTGTACCCGAATAATATAATAAAGTTATAGTAAATAATAACAAATTCCAGTGTTAGAATTCCATAATTCCATATTCATAAATAAAATGATATGCAAATAACATTTTCTTGGCTGTGGACTTGTACTCTACATAATTATGTTGAGCTCATGGTAATCTAATTCAATAAACAATAACTGCAATGAACAGATAGCATTTTCTGACTCGTAAAATGATTGGATATGGTGTAATTTGGCAAATGATTCTGTGTTGAAAAATGTATATCTTTAAAAACTGCGTTGGTGTATTAGGGCGGGCCATACTAATTTTTCTTGTAAATCGATCGAGAGGGGTGTTCAAATAACGTATTTTGGTGTGTAGAACACAAATCTATTTAGATGCTTTTATTTTGAAGTTGTTGCTATGGAAACAACATGACGGAGAAAAAAGTAATATCTTCTACATATAATAACGGACAAAGTAAAGAATGAAGTGTATGTTTAAATGTTAGCACCCCCCGAAGAGGCTCAAGCTCTTACGTTGAGTCTGGAGTTTCAATACATTCGGAATTTGACCGTGTAAAATGTCCTCTTGGGTTACCGTACAGCCAATGCGTGACGTCATTGGTAAGCGTAACGGACCCCGAACACATCTGGTAGGCCGAACACATATGGTACCTACAGCGGCACTACAGTGGCATTTTTCACTGCAACACTCCCCACACGCACACACACACAGTACACCCGCGACTGTTACAATGAAGGCTCGATAATCAGCTCACGGCATATAGGCAGGGGTAAAGTGGTATTTTTTATGAGTTGGGGGCTCACCTCCTCTAGGGGGGTCCGGGGGGATGCTCCCCCGGGAAGATTTTTTTTTAAATATTGAAGTTAAATGCATCAATCTGGTGCACTTTGAGAGCAAAATGAAGAGATCTATGGATACATCTCTCAACACCAAGCAGAACTGTAAACAGATGTACTTTTTCTTTATGGATATTTTACTAATCACTCCCCTTTTAAACTCTATTCTTGTTTTACTGCCATATAGTATTTCATAACTGTTTTTCCTTTATTCTCTTTTTTTTAAATAACTATAATGATCATATGAAGGTGTGCCGCGGAAATAATCTTTTGAATAATCTGTGACCAAACCGTTTGAGACTCACTGAGATAACTCTCCTCCAGCTTCTTGTGGAACAAACAGCTCCTTATGTCCGTTAGTGCAGCTAGCTAACCAGATGCTAACAACACGTCCCTGCTGGCACCGAGCACCGGTCCCTCCCTCCCCCTCTCTCCCTCTCTCTCTCTCTCTCACACTAAATGCGCTATTGCCACACACACACAGAGCCGAGCTTGAATGACACAAGCACACGTTTATTTCCATGCAACTCTCTGATTGGTCTGGTGTCATGCCTCTGTTGCATTCACTGAACACGGGAAATTACAGTGCTGCCGTCCTCTCTTGTGTCATGATGAGGTTCACGTAAAGCACGGTTAATGTATTATATTATTGAGGGAGAATTGTCCGGGGCTACAGAAAAAACATTCGGGGCTAAAGCCCCGGATGCCCAGGCCAGGCGACGCCACTGCTATGGAGGTATTATCCGGCCATAACTCTACAAACAAACTAAACATGTTTTACAAATGCCCTATGATTCACTAACAAACACAGTGTGAAAACAAACATCTACAAACTAATGCGTTTTGTTTTGCAAATAAAAAACGTATCTATCAAACAAACACATTACATTGTTCTAATAAATCATGTTTCAGACACATACAGTAAAGGTTTTACAAGTACACAGAAATATTTTCTACGAGTACAAAAAAAAAAATCCTACATAGACAAAAATAAATATCAGGTGACTAGGCAGGAATATTCCGCTGTGGTTGTGCTGAGGATTTTCTCACAGCAGCAGGGGGCGAGTTGAGCACAGCAAGTAACGGCCCCTGCCAGTCTGATGACAGCGCTCTTTCTAGCGATCCAATACCAGACTAGAGCCCTTTCTCAATTCTATTTTTCCTCTCATTGACTCCTCTCCTCAACTCCTCTCCTTGACTCCTCTCCTCGTCTTAGTCCCGCCCACAGGAGATGCGAGCGGAGGCGTCGAGGAGGGGAACCGAGGAGAGAGGAGTGGAAGCAGCAGGCGTTTAGAGAAATAGAGAGCCGAAGTCCCTCCCTTTCCGGTGGACCTCCATGGGACCTTATTTCGGAAAAAGTATGTATTGAAGTTAATGGCGAGAGAAAGATTATCTTTCGATCCCGTTTGAATTGTGCCACGAATTACACATGTTTGTCAAAAGTCAAAACAAATACAAATGTGTCGTAAAACTGTGAAGTAACACTTTTTTGTGTGAAACCGCTCAATGACCTACATCTCCCGTCTCGCACCACACAGCAAGACGGCCGTCACGTTGGCACATTTCACTTCTTTCTTTCAGAATGAGGCGAAAAGTATTAAAAGAGGTGAAAATCACTACAAGTCTGGGCATGTTGAGAGCTGTATATACACAAAAGGGGAGTTAGTCGGTTCCGTAAGATGCGGGACCGGGATTCTGGGATTTGTAGTCTTTCTAGTTGCATATTTTTCATAGTCTTATATTTTAACAGTTTTACGACAAATTGTGACTTTTTTGACATGGAAATTATTTTTCAAAATTGACAAACATCATGTGTAATTCGTGGCACAATTCAAACGGGATCGAAAGATAAGTTTTCTCTCTCCATTGACTTTAATACTTTTTCCGAAATAAGGTCCCATGGAGGTCCCCGGAAGGGGAGGGACTTCGCCTCTCAATAAGAAATCCTCTCTTCTGAGCGGTCACTTAAAAGCAGTGGTTCTCAAACTTTTTCTGTCATTCCCAACTTTGAACAGGTGGGCCTTTTCAAGCCCCACCTGTTCCTCATCGCTCCAATAAAATGTTAGGCCAAGCTTAAAATCGTCAAATGTATTTTAGGATTGTATTTTGCAGGTCTCCCTTGAAAAAGAGATCAATGATCTCAATGGGATATAACCTGGATAAATAAAGGTTTGAAATGAAATGAAATGAGGATGAGAGCTACTTTAAAAAAATAAAACAAGTCGTGAGCTACTTTTACTCCTTTTTTTGTTTTTTGCAGTGTATTTAGCACATTTTAACTTTAACCTTTGTGTGCTGTTTGGGTCTGTGGAACCCGTTTTCAGTGTTTACTAAAATAAAATGTATTACATTTAATTATTTTAACCTGCTTTATTTGGGGGTGGACCTCACATCCTCTCCGGGGGCATCACCCCTGGGAAGATTTTTTTTTTTAAATGTTGAAGTGAAATGCATCAATCTGGTGCACTTTGAGCACAAGATGAATGTATGGATACAGCTCTCAACACTCGTATAAAAGGGAGCTGTATACTTTTCAATAATCCAAACATCTTTAGAATATGATCACAACCAATAACAACTAATTTAAACTTGTTTATTCTTATCTTATGTTACCTAGTTAGCATTCTTTCTTTTTATTTATGCTTATTTTACTAATCACTCCCCTTTTAAACAGTTTTTTTTTTACTGTTCTATAGTACACATTGGAATGATTTCTTACTTTATTTTTTACAACTAGGCTATATTAAATAGATAAAGGTGTGCTCTCTCTAGTGTCAAACTCCATATGAAGTGGTGAGGTGCCGCTCCACATTGCTTTTCTGTGTGTGTGTGTGTGTGTGTGTGTGTGTGTGTGTGTGTGTGTGTGTGTGTGTGTGTGTGTGTGTGTGTGTGTGTGTGTGTGTGTGTGTGTGTGTGTGTGTGTGTGTGTGTGTGTGTGTGTGTGTGTGTGTGTGTGTGTGTGTGTGTGTGTGTGTGTGTGTGTGTGTGTGTGTGTGTGTGTGTGTGTGTGTGTGT